CATAGGGGACAGGTTGATATGCACATCAAATTGGTACAATACAATGCCGCAAATTTGTGCCCATGGCACATTCATTCAAGAAATCTTTAAATGGCTTTTTTTTACTTGGTTGTCCATTTGAGGCATTGTATTCTACTAGTAAAGTCCTTTAATTTTGATGTGCATATCCTAAGCATATATTTATGATTTTCTTCTTAGTCCTCCTGAGGAGGTAGTGTATCACTGAATGTGTTAAGATGATTTTTGCCCAGTAACGGTGAACCAAGTTTTGAAGCTCTATCTGCATTACTTTTTGAAATATCTAACTGTCCCGGGACTTTTTTCCACCCTGTATCTATGATGCATGGCTCTCGAAAGATGAGGACACTGCCCGCGTTGTGGCAGTTGTCAATCGAGGATTATTAATAAAGAACGACAGCTGCTGTGTAATGTCATTGCCCGAGATTGACTCCAGCAACTTGTATAGACATCTGGAAGTAATAAGTACTGCAGTCTATGGTAACCTTAAGAACTACTTCCAACCATGCCCATAAGTTTGGTTGTAAACAAAGTGAATTGATTTTGATCGACTATTTGCAGTACTATCCTGATAATTAGACCAATTCGTTAATTACAAGACAAAATTTATGTGGTTCGAATTTCACTATAAACTGTAGGTCCCTTAGTTGCCATTGCCTGTATGGGCTATAATTAACAGCTGGGTCTAAGTAAAATGTCGGCCTTAGTCACTAACAAGACTGCAAGATCGCGCAACTCATTCTACAATCATATTTGGGCTAAAATACACACATAGTGGTGTCCCCCCCATCTTAAATTGATTGATTGACCAAAAAACATCAATAAACAGTATTTTGCAACCATTATGGTTTAGCCACAGGGGCTATGTATGGATCTTGTGTTTTACCTAAGAACTTTTTTTAATAGCTTGAAAGTATTAATTTTGCCCTTAATTCCGTTGGTAATTAATGATGTTTCAAACATTTCAACAATTTTATTGCCAATGCCAAAAAAGTCATCATGTTGAATATGTCTGTCTCTGACTGTGTATTGTATGACTTAGAGCTAATAAATTGTTTTACGGCAGTAAAAAAAATGTTATTACGTTTACCAATCTAAAACTTTACTTTTTAGAAGCAATTTCCTTTCATGGAGGTTGTTGGCATCATGTACAGTGGAAAGTCAAGTAGACCATCAGACAAGGGGGGATTGGCTCCTAACCCTTCGGATTCATTATAACTGGCATTAGGTGTCTTTATATGAAGAAATTTAATAAATAAGTTAATTTAACTGGATAGAAATCAATTGATAAATTGTGAATGGTACACACCGCATATATAGTAGAACCCCTGTCCCCTGTTAACCGAAATAAAGGGGGAGAGCCGTTTTGGATAACCAATTTTTCCAATAACCCGCCATATGCTAAAAATAGCCCACCACGGTGAGTTGGAAAAATGAATTTAAAACAATGTCTATGTAATACAGTATTATTCTACAGGATGGCCCATAAAAATGTACTCTAAACGTTTGTTTTAACTCAACTTATGTTTTAATGGACGTCACTCAACAACAATGTTCAAGAATGGTTATGCAAAGACGAATGGAATATGTAATAAACAATGGTGAAAACGTTTAGAGCATTTAGTTTTTAGATGGAATAACTTTGTACAGCTAATAAATAGTCATTAATTTAAGTGAAAATCGTGAAATGATGACTACGTTTTTTGGGGGGCCACCCTGTATATCTGCTACAGAAATGTTACAATGGATTGGAAAATACTTTAAACTAAAGAACTGAAGTTTCTAAAGCATTGTACATTGCATATTACTTATATTTTAGACCTGTATTATCTTATGGAACCGTTTTGGTTACCCGTGTTTCGGTTAGTCGGGGTTCTACAGTAAATTGTGTTTTTGGAATGAAGGTAAGGCAGGAAAATGAATATGAGCACTTGTATGATTGTTTAGAATCATGTATTCCTACAATCCAGAGATGTGGCTAATATATACCAATAATGCATGCAAGACATAGCAAACTGTATGTGTTAAATACATGTAGTACATTCTTCTTAATATTATCATTAAAACAAGTCGGAACAGAACTGAAACAATAAAAACCTTGTAATGACCAGAAAACAGAATAACCATTGGCAGAATAACAATCTTAATGAATAACTGGGGTTGCTGCGTTATGGGTCTCAAACGTACAACAAATTTTGACCCAAGCCCCAATCCTTCAGCCTGTTTTGGTTATGAACAAATGGTCTATGTAGGGCCGTATCATTTCTAAAAAAATCAATTTTTGTGTTGAAGGCACTTTAGATCGGACGAAGTGGCCCCTGTGTGTATTTTTGGAATGAATGGATTTCAAAAATCAAACTGGATTTCGTATCACAATTTTTACATCCTGTGAGATTTATGATTTTGAGTTGCCTTCATACTATTGCTGTGCTGTAGTGAGATGTGTCCATTATAACGAGAAAGATAAACAAATTTACAGGCTATTGCAAAGTTTGAGAACAGGCTGCAGAAGTGAGACTCGGGCCATAACGTCCTTGCATTACTTAACAACTCGAAAAACATAACAATAAAAGAGTCTTATACTCGGGAGTATGCCCCTCGAAGCTACAACGGCAAAAATAAAATGGAAGAATTATGTTCAGTGAAATAACTAAGTACATCTACACCAGAAATACGTATGTAGTGTAGCTTTGCTGAGGGGTAAGCCACGAACCCAACAATAACATCTATATTGAGTTGCGATAAAAAAATAAATTATTATTGTGTGTGTGCGCGCGTATTATATTACAAATACACAGTCTTATATGTCCTGTAACAAAAGCGAACTCTCCTATCATATGGTTCACTGTAACTTATACTATCATCATCTGTAAAATATAAAATCTATTATGCTAGTTGCTTTGTACAAACCCTTGTTAAAGGGCTCCGTATTTCTGGTGTGAAGCCTCGAGGGGCATGAGGTGCCTTAACGAGATAACGTAGGCCTGAGGAGGACCCAAAACGCATACACGGACCAACAAGGTTACATATACTACATAGTCAACACTCAAAAATGAACTGACTATCTTAGTTACGGACTAGAAGTATGCAGAACAAAATGCTGTTACTCTATGTTAACATTACTAATACAGCCCCTATCAGAGGCTGTATAACCGGTTATATATATCATTGCGATGTGGATGGCTAAAAACTGAAAGGTGTACACTTAGGAAATCAAAACATTGATAATTCAACATAAAATAATCATTCCAAAACACGTGAACTTTTGACTACAGAAAATCATTAACACTAAGTAGTTAAAAATTTCATTTTCGTCATATATAAGAAAATATAGAATTTAAGGCAGATTCTGGTTAAAAATTACACACAATTTTCACTTTTGGCTTAACGATACTTTTAATAAGATAAGGCGCGAAGGTGCTTCTTTTAATAAGCTTGTACTCTTATGTGAACAGGGACCTTTTAATTGTCTTTTTGATCAAGGGAGTGTCCTAAACAGTGTGCCAAAGACATGTGATTTCTCATAGATCTGTAAATTAAAACAGGAAACAGTTGAGGTCTAACAAAATCTGAAAGGCGGGGAAGGTCGAGATGAGAAAATTAAAGAGGACATTAAAATGGGATTGAAAAAATAAAAACAGCACCCTTTGTGTAGTTGGGAAATCCAAAAAATGTTGTGTGCAAACAAACCAAATATTGTTATTTCAAGTCTGTAATATCATCTGTAAAGTAAAGCAGAAGACATTAACATCGCCATTTCTATTATCAGAAACTAATAAGAACAGTTTCAAATTAACAATACAACAAAAACCATTTTGACGTTAACCGAACATTACAATCTTAGCAATGCCATCTTGAAAAAGAAAAGAGGGCTTAACACCCCTCCCAATTTGCTATACAACAATCATTAAGAATAAGAAACGGTTATACTACGGGGCAACAATTACATAGGGTATGATCAACAATAAAACTAAGGTTATGGCAGAGGAACAAAACCATTCATGACACTTTGTAGCTTCTTGGAATGGAAACTAAAACCGTATCTAGAAGTATTTCAATACAATAAATGTTACGTATATATGAGAGTGAGCCTTTCCGTTTGAGCTGCCTCGCATCTGAGAGGCAAAACGGTAGACTTGTCAAGTTAGAGTTATGTATTCATCCCCAGCTCATCTAGTAATAATCTTGGTTGATTGTGTTGTGGATTTGACACTTAAAAGGAGCACCATTAAGAAACGTCTAGAATGTAAAGTCCACAACACAAAGATTCAAGATCATCAATTTGTTTTCAAAAGTCTTTGACAAAGAGATAAGAAAACTGAAATCAATGCCAAAACACATACTGTATTCACATTTTAAAGATACTAAATTTATATGCTTTATTCAAAAAGGTTTTAGTTAGGTTTATTTATTTTTTTTTTTTGCTTGGTTAGCCTTAAAGCAGCATAGTATTTTCCATTTGAGGGTTTGCTTGCTAGTGGCTAATTAATTAACTTAATAGGTAAATAACGCCACTAAATATTTCTTTAAATTTTATAAACAAAAATATTTAGTTAGTCTTAAATAAATGTATTGTTATCAAATTCTTTCAGATATTTTCAAACACTATTATTTTGAAGATGATTGTTTCACATTAATTTTTTCTACTGATGAATACAATGAGCGGTAAGAAAGGTGTTTGCTCTTATGCAATCTGCAATAGTAGAACATGGTGAAAAGGCTCAGCTTGCAATATTTTGAATGTTACTATTTTATTTTAGTATTTTAATAACAATTCTGAAAGGATGCAATCTCTAGTATTCAGATCTCTCTGCAGAGTTGTAGATTTACAAATAATAAGTCATTATTGCATTGATATGACTGAAAATAATAAAAAAAACTACCTATTTAAGAAATTTGATGATTTCAGCTAATTAACCAATGAGCTTATTTAACATTAAAATTTAAAAAGAAAATCATTTATTTGTTATTCTTGATTCCTACACAAATAAATTTATTTATTTACCAAAATATTATTGATATTTTTATGTAAAATACCGGTACTTTGATTTACAAATTCTCATCATGATCTGATTTTGCTAATAATTTTGTAAGTTCTCATTTACTCTTGCAAACAAGATTATTTCAATATTATCGCAAACTATCTCATGTCTGAGTTTGTATTTGTGTTTTTGTAGCCTGTGAAGGTGGTGGATTGGACCTTTGGTCTAAACCTTCACAAGTAAAATAAACAAGTTATCAAGTTAAACAAGTTATGTCTGAGTTTATTTAATATTGTCAAAGAGTGCTTTCATTTACCCAATGAACGTCATTATTCAATTTGCATCTTTTTCTTATGATGTGTCATTCCAAAGAGAGCTGGGTGGATGAATACTATCTGTTGAGTGACTTTGGAGTGCCCTAGATCTGTTCTCATCTTATTGTTTACTTAAAGGTCACTTTGGTAATATTTTACAGTACAAAAGTGTCTTTCAAGTGGTGGGCCTGTAATACTCCTTGTCACTATTGTTACCAGTCGGGAAATCCTGCTGTTAAATAACGATGGTACGGTACCTATCTGACGTGTTCAGGGTAAAATTAAAGATTAGGTAAGATAGATTGACCACGACAAGTGTTTTTCGTAATCTTCATAGCTCAAAAACTGAATTTACTCATTCTAAAATTGAAAGAGTTTAATTCTACCCTGAACAATGATTGCGTGGGGTGAGCATGGAGAGTGAAGGTAGGAAGGAGCATCTGTAAACTGTATTCGCTGTTGGGGAAGGAAGTCCCTGGTTCTGGTTCTGGCAATGAGTGGTCCCGTGCCATTATCTCTCACAGAACCAAAGCACACACACTTCATCCTAGTATATCATTATATATCATTAAATTACTTTGTCTTATATATAAACACATATGCGTCATTTAAATATTAAATTCAATAATTTTTATATTCGCTAACGTCACTGTACAAAATGTTCACAATTTGACACTAAACCGACCAGTGTTCTTTTTACTCTGTGAAAATATCGAAAAGCTTTTAATCGAACTTCTATATGTAAATTTTACATAAAAATGGAATTATTATCTTGTGGATTGCAGGTATCAAAACATCTTCAGTTTTGTTTCTTTCTCAGCGGTGTAAAAGGTATCACAAACCGGGATGGGAGGTTTGAGTCGGGTTCCTATGCTAATAACAACACATTGTACAATACTGGAAATAATAGACAATGATAACACACAAAGAACGCCTGTTTTCGAATAAATGCGTGTATTTGACTAGTAAAACTCACCACTCCACTGATACAAATTGATGATGGTTCGATATTAAACTAAAATAACAATAGAAACTATAATAAATAATTAAATAATATATTCATTTGCATCGTGTGAGATCACGTGAAATCAGAACAAAAGCAGTGCAAATGGTGAAAATAAAGTGAAACTTCCTAACTAAATAATAATGAAATAATTATAAAACTATAAAAAGTATTGAAAAGAATATAAACAAAACAATTTTTTTTGGTTTGTGGAATGTTACTTGTTGGTTCTGACTTCCCGCAGAGTTCATTTTGATGTAGGCTATTGTCAATCCCAAATACACAAAATAAACTTTTTTATACAAACCTTTATACTAGAATAGTTTTAAAGCCATATTTATAAAAATTTATCTATATATAAATAGGAACATACGACTTGGCAATTTTGATTCTATGGTATAATTTATATATTAATAGCGTAATACAAAGTGAACGTGAGGCGAGAAGTCAGAGACCAGGCGGATACGATTTACAAGCGGCTTCACCAACTGACCAACAACAGTCAATATCTATTGCAGTCAACAAACAAATTCTAAACAGTCTTTATTCTGTCGAGGACTAGGTCACACTTTTGGAATAGGGTCACACTTTGAGCCAGGTTTTCAACCAGCTCGCAGAGTTAACCTCGGTGAAAACAAAGTTGAAAACACAACCGACACAAAGGATGAAGTTATTCCTAAACTCTGTTTAACAAATAAACTCGCTTAACTACATAAATTTTAAATTTAACTTAAAATTAAATAGATTTCTTTTCAACAGGTCCAAAATTAAATTGCCAAAAAGTGGCAAAGTTAGGACATAAATTAAAACAATATATTCCATAACTTTCCAAATGTCATATAAAATTTGAAAATAATATAATTATATAATAATTTTCTTTGTCTTAAAAAATAATAGTTTATACAACATAAATAATGTAGGTGCTGGTGGACTGCGCATGTAAGTGGTGACTGCGAAGGTAACGTCTCTGCGCTATGCCACTGCCACTGCCACTGCTCCACGACTATACGAGTCTATTTGATAGACCAGCGCCTCATCGAGTCTCTATATAACTTATGTACAAACAACCAAGGGGATCAGGATATTCACAACACATATATACACGTCTTACTCACGCACTACACGAAACAGCTTACAGATTTATCCTGCTGGTAACAGGTTTTCGTTTTGTCTTGTCGAAGAATCGAGAATGAAGAGAACTCGAAAGTAAAAATTCTTTTTAAGAACTAATGTGTCTATTCCAGTTGCTCGAGGAAGTTGGGTGATTTGAAGTACTCCGGAACGGGGTCGTCCATGCGGGAGATGATCTTGTAGATGGATTTCTTCCACGACTGTTCCGTGTCTTTTCCTGACTGGATAGCTTTGAAGAACTCCTTGAGAGTTTGCTCCACCACGTACCTGAAGTTTGGAGGAACCTGCAAGCACACAAACACACACATTAATATGGTATTGAAACTAATACTGATATATCTGGCTCTCCATTTACGGAGTATGGAAGTGTGCACATAACTATACCTGTAAACTTTGTTGTTCTTCACATAAAATCCAAAATCAAAATCTACCAAAGATACATTAAACACAATTACTAATTCATTGTTTCATTGTCTGTGTCTGAAAATTCAGATTCCAACAATAGTTTTGATTGCACGAATCAACAGAACAACTATGCCAATTAAATGATCAAGAAACATACATTAGCTACTAGTAGGGAATATTCAATTAGTTTTCCTATAAATTACAAACAAGATTAAAGCTTTGTAAATTAATATCTTACACATTTTATGCCAAAATGTAATTTCTCTGTTACATCATGTTTGGCTTTGTGACGAAAACCTAACTGAGCAGTAATTAGCTATTACTACTTCCTTTTACAGATGGCAGTAAAAGACCATACTATTTTCTCAACATTCATACCTACTCGGCATTTTTGATCTTTTGTTCTCTACTTGTTTGTTTTACTAAATGTGAGAGGATTTCCACAAATTGTATTATTTACAGTGATTGCTTCTCATTTCCTTATGAATATGGAACATATTCATACAACTACAACTACTGTATTTTACTTCATGAATATAAGTGATAGTGATATAAACTAATAAATTATGAGAATCGACATATATTATTTTGCAAGTAATAAACAAAAAGCCAATGATCTAAAAAAATAAATCAGTAGTATTGTTGGTTATTAAACAGCAACACAGTCTAATAAACCATACTTTCTCTTCCTGAGCCAAAATAATACCACTTAATATTCCTGCAATAATTCTAAGCATTATAAAAGCATGTTTTAATCCACCAAATTATGGTTTATTTTTTTTTATTAATTAAAAGTTTGTTTCCTACTGTTATGTTTACAAAAGTATTGGAGATGCAATTTTGTTTTTAGTACAAGCTTTAATTTTCATTTATGCCAACAATAAACATTTATTTGTATCACCCATAGCAAATTTAGTTATATTACTCAGGTACATCCAGAATCCACATGCCAAGCTTATGAAAATCAGACCACTCTTTTAGTCTATATTTATGTACACTATTTGTGGATTTCCTGTCTAAATGTTTTTTGTTGGCACATTATGAGCTTTACAGATACAGATATAGATAGTTAGTGTAAAGTAGGTGGCGCACCTGGGGGCCACATACCTCAATGTGGTTGTTGCGGTTATAGTGCAAGTTGAGGACCCTGTATATCTCACAGTCGCCACTGACATGCAGGTCCTCAGCAGACTTGACTCCTTCACTCACCGCCTGGCGAGCGTACTTCTCCATCTGGATGTAGTAGAACTCCCTGCAACATGGACCATCATTAACACATGATGGACAACCTGTAAGCGATGACTATTCAACAGTCAATGCTACATACAAGCTTTTGTGCAAGCTTTTCAAATTTTAGCTTTGAAATATGTAGTGTTTTTGATCTATTTTTACAATATATGAGTACAATTTTTTTGCCAAAAACAATTCAGTATTATTATACTGGTAAGCTTTTGCAACCCCAGATAATATAATAGAATGTTAGAGCCTTCATAATCTCTCCCACTACATACACCGGGAAGTGATGCTGGGGTTGCATCGTGTCAATGGAAGGGGCTTCGAAAATACCATTCTTCGAGCAGTGTTTTAAACAATGCTTTAAACCTCGATAGAACATCTCGATATTTATTAATATTGTAACACAAAAGTTTCTTTCTTGCCCAGCATGGTTAAAAACTCAACAAATAGTTGCAAATGTCCCAAGTAAGGCTTGGGAACAAAACTCTTTCTCATCAGAAAAGGTTAAAATAGCTTCACAAAAGGAGTAAATAAGCGCAGTCATCGAGACGAAGTTGACACAGTAGCAAACTCCGAGGAGACTTCTGCTCGCGTCAAACAACCGAATGAACGTTCCTTTCATAAACATTTTCAAATTACACGGATCGCTAAGGAAAAGGTAAAGACAAAAGTATATAGTGAAAGACTCGTCAGAATAGGAACGCTAAACGCATTACATCACAGGAAAGACGTGTCGAACATTGTGTAAAAAGCGCGGGGCTGTCGAGCGCAGAAACAAAACAAGTCGGAGCTGGCAAATGTGAGAAAAGGAAGCTTTCAGATTTAGACTGGCAGTGCGGGGTTGAATACTTATTGTTGTAGTGTAGTGGCAGTTGCCAGTTTAGGTAACCGATGTCGGTTAGCGTCCCATTGACACCTCCGAGTTTACTCGTAATTAAAACTTATTATGCACGGAAGCAAAGTGTCGCCATTTTAATACAAATTTCTAAACTTATTTTTCCGCTTCCACGCGTTTTAGTTAAAAAGATGTTCGTCATAATTTACGTGAAGATCGCTAAAATTACCGAGCTATTTCCTTTGAGGATAATCCCATTGAAAAGAGATTTTCAAAGTAGGTTAATGGATACCGCAATATAGTAAAAAAGTAAACTCGAACAAAACATTTTATTTTGTAATAAAAACATATTTTATGAACCCATAAAAATTACCCTTCCCATAATGGGAAAACATAATCTAATTATTTTACCCGATCCTAATGAATACCCTTTTCTCACTGACGAGTTTCGGTTCGAAAAATCCACAAAACGAGACGTTACCGTTCCAACGTTCGATGTGAATAGACGAAGAAAGACCCTCCAAGTGTTTTTATCGAGTGCGCATTCATATTTATAAAACGCGCTTGATTTCCGATTCAAATCGGTATCGAGCTCAAAGAACTCTACTAATAAACCCTATTTTCAATCGTGTATTGAAAGGTCGCTAACTTATTTTGCGAGCGTCGAATTATTCGAGTGGAGGATTTAATATAAACAAGCTCTCGATTAGATTTTGTTCACACCTCGGGGATAAGACAAAAATGGCAGTCGGATTTATAACGAGGCCAGCCAATCGTCGCTGACGTGTGACGTCATTCGCCATTAGGTAGTTCTTGGTTCGGGTTCGCTCCACTACACTCCTATTGCCATTGACACATTGTTTTCCAACGCCTCCGATGAAAGGGTAATCGCTGGTTCGCTCCTTCAACCCCAACACTGCATCGGCTCTCGAGCCACGAGTTGGGCGATCTAGTTAATTGAATATATTGGGGTAGACTGTAATGATTTAATTACATAACCTGCGGATCTACTAAGTGCCCCGTTTTCTGCGAAAACCCGGGGAAAATATAACAGACTTAAGATTATGATTAGTGTACTCATAATCATTATCTCCTTAAGTGAGATCTATTTTAAGATGAATGAGTTTATCAGCATTTTAATTACAAACAATTAAATAGAAATATAATATTTTTAAAGTATATTCACTGACAGTAAATCGTTATTTAATTCATTGTCCGATGTGAATTAAAATAACTTAGTATTCAAGCAGATCGACTTAACCTCCCACTTGTCATCGTTTCATCAGCGGGGATTGTCGAGAGCTCCGGTAACACTATCATATTGACAACTAATAACCGAACGAGGCGATTGTAATTAAATCAACACATTCAGCAAACCCGGCTCATTGTTCGCCGTGCTATTCCGATCTTCCGCACACTATGGAGCCTATTGAACTATCGAGGCCTAGTATCTAGTGCGACACTCTGTTCGCTCTTTTGCTCTTTTAACGAGTGCGAGCTAATTATCGCGATACTGGCAGCCAATAAAGCTCACTATCTTATTAAAATCAAGTGTAAACAAAATGTTGAATAGGATGCACCCTCGTGTGTTCGAGGAGGTGCGGGCCAATCAACGTCGAGCATTCAGCGACTGAGCGACTTACAGCTGTTCAAGAGTCCTCGATGACGCCTGGCACACCTCGCCAGCTCACCTCCACTGATAATTAGCTCATCGATGTCGTTCGTGAATCGTGATTAGCTCACCACTTCACCCGACACAAGATTGTCGTTCCGAGATGCTCTTTTGTAAATCTTAAGCCACGTGAAAGCTTGTAATGACACGATTTGCCCTCTCAAGCTCGGGATAAAGAATTCTATGGACATTTCGGCTTATAATTCAATCTCTTTTTGCTGCCAATATGGATTGATTTTGAATGCTACTATGGAATAAAATTACAAAAATTCTGATAAAATAAATCATGCTAATCGGAATATTGTCACTAATACTCTATAAAGGACAACGTACGAGGAAATCGTGCTGATCAACGTACAAAATTGCTCACAGTTGTCGGCGATGAATGAAGATATTTAAATGAATTTGAATCTTGGAAAAATAAGATGCGTTGTAACAGTAAAGTCAAACGTCTGATTGTATGAATGATCTTCAATTTCTATTCATTGTTCTCTAGTTATTGTTTATTCGAGTGTCTGTGGTGTCAAGTTCTGTAGAATGTTTGTGATAACAAGTGTTCCTCTGACGAAAGATTACACAAAAGAAACACTTAGGTGGTTTCGACAGACAAAATGTTAAATTACTCTATAAAAACAATATGACAACGCCGTTTCGGTTTATCCTGAACTAATTGGAGTTCAATATGAAATTAAGTAACTTTATTTGTGCCAAGATGAATGTCACTTCTTGGAGTTGCCAATAACCCTAGTGTGCGGACCCCTAGTTTGCCTATGCGGGTCCGTATCACCTGCGGGGAGTCGGGGACACGTCTTGTGCCCTAGTTGCACCCCGCACATGCTGGCGCTGGCCTGTACTTGTCACCGATTTCTCTGCAGACTCTCACTCACACAGCTGACCGTCTTATTCATCGAGCGTTCTATAACTTACACATCCGCAAACAACAATATGCATTTTAAGAAAACATGCATAGAAAATTGCTCTGAAAAGAATGTCCAAGTGCGAAGAAATCGTAGAATGTTATGAACAAAAATAATTGCTGAACTGGCAATTTAAATGAACGCCAATCAACGCACTTCAACAGTATGATTTTGTTAGATGTATGTGTCACTATTGCAATTCAAATGCTACTTCAATGTAAAAAGCTAAACGACCGTGGAAGCTCGTGAAGATAAAGTTATAATTGAAGGGTCCAAGCCGAGCTTAGAAGCTGAAACCGACCATCGGTGGCTCAGAGAAATGCAACGTTGGCCAAAAACACGGGATGACGCTCGAATGCAGCTGCATTTACAAATGAAGAGGACTCGTACGGATGTGAAGCCGGGCGGATGATTTGATGCTCCGTATCAATCGACAACGTGGTCAAAGGCTCATTTAATTGCGACCGGTCAAACAGATAAAACGCAAAACAAACAGGCCTTACTCAAACCTGAGCTGCACTCGGTGCGACAAAACGGTTTAACTATTTTGTTGGTCGATGTTGAACCACGCTTTGATTATCAAACCCGAGATTATTAACCGGATAGCATCCATTTTACCTCGGGAATTAAAGTGGTTCCACAGAGTCGGTTGCGCTAACTATTTTGTTACAGCAAAAAACCAATCATATTACTGTATCGTCTTGTAAATTTTTTTTGTTAATTGCGGGACCTTCATAAAGAATTTGTACGTTTGGAGCCAAAATTGGGTATTTCTGCATACAATGGAAATGGTTTCTGGTTTGTGAGGAAAACGTTCAAGCAAGCAATAAAACAAGCCTCGCATGAATTACCATACCGGATAAAGGGGACTTATTAACCTACTACCCACTTTGACATTGTAAAACCAATGCAAACGAAGGATATAAATATATTTATTAACTTAACCCCCTTAACCCACATAGAATCGTGTCACATAGACTATTTTGTTGAGAATCTTTTATTCCGAACCGTTACCGTTATATTTCCAATTAAGAGGGTTTTGCCTTTTAAAATTGTGGATTAACGTCAACGATGGAACATTCTGTCCATATTTGACCATCTATTTGTCGTATTTTGATTGCAGAGAACAAACCACGCGTCAAACTAAAATGAAACTGTAACCTGTATGCACATTAACCTGCAAAGAGAGCAAAATCTTATCGATTATAGTCGACGTAGGTTCGTTTACCGTGCAGATGCTTCATTAAAAATTACTTAATTATTTCGGTCTTCGTCCTAATTAGAGGCCGTGTCAAATCTGTCATCACTTCATCTCTCTCTCTCTCTCTCTCTCTACTGCAAGCTTGTACTGTATCTCTCCATCTCTCTGCCTCTCCCGTTGGCTTGTTGCCCTTTTGCAATGCCTTATGTCCCGGTGCATCTACTCGTTCTGCATAATAATAAAGCCTGTTTGCCTTTTAAAGTGCAGCCGCTTATAATTTTTCAGTTTCCTCAAATTGTTATATTACGTCGACCATTTTATTACGTTATTGAAATGTATTGTGTGTTCTAGAGTTATAACATGAATGCCATTGATCTGATTAATGTTCCTTAATGGAAATGGCTTTTTTGTGTTAAATTTGAATATTTTAATAATTTCTTTGCACATACGATTACCGATGAAAGATGGTTTACTGTGTTACTCATAAAAGATTCGAAATTAATAACTGAACTTTTTCGAAGACTTCCCCACATCGATGGGATACATGGCACGATGTTGGATATTATTTTACTAAGATGAAACATATACCAAATTACTTATGTGTTTTATGCCGACTCGATGGGGGCTCGAAGTGAGAGGCGTCAGGCGTGCTAATAGAAGCCATCACTGTTACACACGGCGGATATTCTATTAAAAGTTGGCCAAGTCGGTCGGAAGTAGCGGTGCGTGTGATCCGGCACGCGAGCGCGGGTTCCTCACTCTCTCACCTCACTTTACCAACACCTGCTGCGATTCTTGGCTCCTTATTTAACCTGATCACGCGCGATTTATGACGAATCGATCCTGAGCCTCTGCAGATACCCGCGTATAGCCGCTAACTACTTAGTACTATCGATTCCAATACTAACAAAACATACGTTCGAGCTGATTGAAAACTATGTTATTACGTTTGGTCATTAAAACGAATTAAAACATATTCCTACTATAAAAACGTAATAAAGTAAGACCTGTTTATGTGGGAGTGGGATGTCCTCAACACTACGTTTCCTACACATCAACTATTCACAGACGAGTAGAATGTCAGTCGTACACGGTACAAATAAAGAGTCGAAATGAAAGTAATTTACAACAGATATACCCGCAGCTGCAATATCGCGGTGGTCCGTTGGTCAGTAGATCTGTGCACTATTTTAATTAGCGATGTCTGGGGAGAGGCGCGTTGTCGCAGCTACCGCCGCGGGACGACATGTCGTCGCCGTACAAAGGATGTACCGAGCGCTTTGGGATGCAGTTTGCCCCCACTCGATACGACATTTTTCATTTAACTTTTCGAGGTTCGCCAGTCCCGCAGTTCCGTCTCTATGGAAACCTTTAACTATATATGCATGTTTAAACGGATCTGCGGCGCAGTGAAAGTTTTTTGTTTGTAGTTACCCCCGCGGCGACGACGAGTGCACCCTGATGCACATTTAGATTGTAATGACACTGAAAACTTGTATGTTACATGGTGCAGCGTCCCTGTGGCACACGGGAAACGTTCTAATCTAATGTGGAGTCCACTTCGTACTGCACTGGATAACGGATAACCCACATACACTCTACTGGTGAAATGTACAAATAGTGATCATGCAAGAGAAGCTGAAAACTTGAATACTAAAACTTATTGAGACAACACGTTAAGATAATGTTATGTTATGACATAAACTGTCAGAAGTCAATATTGATAACATACTGTATGTCGAGCGCTAAGCATTCAATTTATTGATCAGTATCTCACTGTTATATATTAAATTATTGAACTGAGAGGTCAAAACAAACAAAAGTTAGCTGCGTTAGCCACAACGTTCTATAAATGTCTTTACAATTTTGTACGCATAAGAATCTGCATTTAGTTGAACACAAGTTACATAAATATGTCTTCAACAGTTCTAGAATATGTTAAGGTTAAGTTATGTGCATGCCCTGATAGTAAGGCAGTAAGATGTGTGAAGCAGGCCTACCTGAAGTTGGAGAACCACTTGACGAGCTGCGCCGTGTTGTTCTTGTTGAACTTGATGTCAGGGAAGTACATCTTGAGCACCGCGGAGCTCGGGTACCTCACCCAGAAGAACATGAGCTTGGCCTTCCTCAGATGCATCGGCGTCAGGGTGGACGAGTGGGGCTCAGTTAAGGATCCGTCTTTAGGCAAAGATGTTTGGCTCGAGTCATTTGCGTTTGGAGCATACCCTAGCTTTTGTAGGTAGGCTAAACTAGAGGCTTCGTAAGTGAGCCCGTAGCTTAGAGTCATGGGGATCCCGTTTCTGGGCGAATCGTGGTGTACGGGTTAAGGATTAAACTTACAAAACTGTATAACACCTTGGAAAATCCCATCACCACATGATAAAGTCAAATTGTTACTGTTACTTAGAATAAAATATAGCAAACTACAAACTGTGTATTTCAACATTTGGAAACACTGCATGCAAATATATAATATAAATTGAACAACCGGGAAATTTGAAAATATTGCCCCATCGAAACTTGTAAAACTAATAATTTAGTTTAGTCAAAAGAGGGGTTCACCGTTTTGTATTGGAGAAAACTAGTTATGACTTTAAAAGTATCATTTAAATAAACCTCACACTTTGATGTTAGGATAAAAAAACTTCTTTTTTCGGGATTTTGATAAATGTTTGTACTCTATACGGATTGGTTTTGTCCATGCGATGTCACACGACAGTGCGAAGAGAGGGCGGAACATAGACACGACATTGAACACCGGCAATCCGTAATCAATAAGAGAATCAGATAAGGAAACCAAATCCGGTTAAACAAGAGGTCAGAGGGTCTTCAATCAAATACTTGGGAGCCCAAGAATGTACGGCTTCAAGAGTGACAGCGCCGCACGCCATTGGGTAGCGGTTACGTTTACTGTTCTTTACAAATTTCCAACGCAATTAATTTAATGACTGTAAAAAAAACTAAACTATGAAAATTAGTGGACTTCTAATTCCGAGATAATATTCGCAAAAGTTTAGCCGACCAGTTGCAAGGCAGAACCGTTAACAAATTGTAAATATTACACCCTAGTTAATTGATTCCCGTTCAAAGTAAATGTGCATATAATGTTGTCTTATCCCCAATATTTTATTTTTGGTTAGGGATACATGATGGGAAAACAAATACAATAAACTACCTCAATAAAATGTTTACCGATATATATTAACATTAGCAAAAGAAAGTGATGATTTCTCGATCTAGATCAGACAATCGGATTTATTTGTTAGTAACCAAGTAAGGCTTCCTGAGATCCTTGTGAGGGTAGAGAAACCCGGTGTTTGCATTTAACAATTGGATTTGGATAAGACAGATTAGCCAAACCTTACAAAACTGACAGCTCATCCCCTCGCCCGTCACAATATCAAACAACTTACACACGTAGCCTGACACCTGGTATGGCAGCAAATTGCCTCGACGTGTGAAAATGATCTCATGAATGTAACATAGCGGGAAGGAAAGATAAAGAAATCACATCAAGGCACGCAAAGACGCAAGAGAAGCTTAAGACGCGGGCCGACCCATATTGCTTTTGAATAATATAAACACCTCAGCTGTTTCTTTGTTGGATTCTAACCTTGGGCGTAACGGTCGTCGCAGCCCTTCGCCCTAGCCGGGGGGTTTTGTTGTTAAATCTAACCCTCGACCGCCCTTTAAACCGACTATTGGCCGTTTAAATGCTGTAGAAAAGTCAATGTAATCTAGAAATATTAAAACACCGACTGATCCAACCAAAATTACGAAATTTAACTAGCGCACAAACAAGACGGTTTTGTGGAAAATCTAAAACTGTTACTGAACCATAGGATTTTAAACGATTTGATCACCAAAAAAATTTTAACACATTACCTTCAGTTTTATGTCACGCATTTAAAATTAAAATGGTAATATTATAACATGCACAGGTATTATAAAACATAGTTTAAATAAATATAGCAAAATTCAAAAGGGTGAAAACAACTTTGATTGAATTTATCTTTGTACAATAATACTAGTACTCGTAGTTTTAAAAACGTTTTGTTGGTAAATTAAAATGTAGAAATTATATTTTTAGGATGTCTGCTTTTTAAATATCTTTACCAGGTTAATTTTATAAAATTATCATACAAGGCCTGAAATAGTACTAACTAAGTAAGAACTAAAACTACCGAATATGTTTGTGCCAGAAAAGGATATTGTAGGAGTGATGCCGTCGTAGGGGCCATCTCCGGAGTTGCAGTCGGACGACCGATCAACACTGTCGTTGGCACCTCCCAGGCCGGCCGAGGGTGCCCTCATGCCACCGTAGTCCGGGGAGCCGTGCTGGGCAGCAGCCAGGAGAGCCGGGTGTAGTAGGGTCGGTGGGTGTAGAGGTGGTGAATCCCTCAGGTCTCCCATGCCTGGAGGACTGGCCGAGGGGATGTGAGGAGGTTGGTGATGCGGACCGTAGAACGGACTGTACGGTGAGAACACCTGAGACTCGTGAAGACTGGGGTTTGGGATGGCTACTGATGTCGGTAATGAAACTGGCAGCATGGGAGGTGGTGGAGGATGGTACGGGCGAGGAGGCGGGGAGTCTCCTCCGCTGGAGCTTGTGGAGGGAATCATGTTGAATTTTGGAGACGAATCGAGATTTCCCTGAGGAGAAGTTCCGATGCCATCTTGAGCTAGGATACGACTGACGGTCCTTGGAGTTATTCTCGTGTCAGTCACCTTATGTCGCTTTTTCTTAGGCACGACTACGAGACTAAGAGCTTCGTTCTGTTCTGGCGCACCTTCTCTGGAGTCGCTCACACAGTAAGGGTTGCTGTTGCCGGCCATGCTGTTCATGTTGTTGTACAGGACGACAGCTGAGTTCATGCTGCTCGTAGGAGGTTTTGGAGGCTGAAACATAGCCTGGTTCAATGATGACCTTATATGTGGTAGATTCATGGTATTTATGTTGTTTTCGGGGTTGCTGGTGTTGTTGTTGCTGTTGTTTGAGCTATTTTGATGATGTTGTGGTACTGGCATGCTCGGGAACGCTGTTCCGTTCAACCGTGGGGGTCCACCCTGAGCCTGAGGTGAACCGTTCATGCTACCAGATGGTGTTCTTTCAGGAGGTCCTTGGTTTCCTCTATCGACGACCTTACTGCGAGGAGACTTCCTGTCCAACAGCTGAGAGGCAAGGAGCAAGTCTTTGTTAAGTTGTTCGGCCGCTACAGCCGCAGCTTCCGACTGTTTTCCAAAGAACCGTCGTTGTTGTACAAATCTTGACATTATTGAATCGATAAGATTTGATAGCGAAGTTGTTATTTCAGTCTTGAGAACGTCTGCGAGCCCTTCCAAATCGGACCCAGAGACAGGCGGAGCAAGCGCTTGATTCCGGAGTATGCTGAGCCTTTCAGCGAAATCGGATGCAGTCTTAGATTGAGGTGGGGGTTGTGGGGTTGTCTGAGATTGAGGATGTTGGTTTTGATGGGGAGTCGAAGGTTGCGTTTGGGTAGACGATTGGGTGGGGTTAGGAGGATGTGGAGTTGATGGCTGGCTGTGAGGTGTTTGACTGCCTTGTTGTTGTTGTTGAATCTGTTGTTGAGGAGGCTGAGGAGCTTGTTGTTGATGCCCGGACTGCTGCTGTTGTTGATGATGACTCATCATGTGCTGTTGATGGCCGTGGTGTTGTTGACTCATGTGCTGCTGATGTTGGTGTTGTTCAGCGGCCATGGCAACCTCCTTCATACGAGCCTCTTGTTCCATGTACAACTTATGGCTAACTCCCAGGTACATCGCAGCAGCGTTACTTAGAGCATGGTGAGGGTTCATCTGAGGGTGAGGGTGGAGATGATGGTGAGGTAAAGGTCCGTGAGGAGGGCCGTGTTGCTGCTCTTGTAACACCTGTTGTTGTAGTAAGGACAGGGCTCCATTGAAGGTCGGGGGTATGGGAAGATGCTGAGGCAGGTGTGGAGGAGGGTGGAGTTTAGATGGTAACATTTTGCTTATTGCGGGAGACATTATTGGTTGGCTAACAGGAGTAGATGCGGGAGTGTTGGTAATATTGTCTTTAACTGGGGTAGAAGCCGACGATGAAGTCGCTGGCTTGTCGGGAATAGTTAAATTACTGACCTCCTGCTCCATATCACTAGATGCATCATCATTATCTTGACACTCGGATTCTTGATCCATCCTAGTACAAAGCTGAACATATTTTTGTTGCATTTCTGCTAACTGCTCTTGCATGGTTCTTAGCTGAGTTTTTAACGCATCTTTCTCTACTCTTTTCTGTCTAATCTCGTTAGGTTCTACCTCATCTTCCTCATCATCGTCTATAAGCATAGCCGCATTCATATTGATGCCAAGAGCGGCGTACCGCTCCGCTGCACTATTATCGTGCTGCTGAGGATGATACCTCTTACGTTTTTTACAGCCATTGACTTGAGTTGGAAGAGAGGGACTAGACCTCATTGAAGAAACAATATTTTCTACCCTCGCTCTTTTCAATTCTATTTGTTCTGTTTTAATACTGGTATCTTTATTACCTGAGTTTTCCTCAGTGTCGTCCTGTGGTGTGGGAGAGCCTGGTTCAGAGTCAGATCCTTGCACCGCATCCTCCGAGGCCCGTGGATCCTGTGACTGTGGTCCGCTCTGGTCCTCACCCGCCTGCTCGTCATCTCCACTGTCCGAATCCGCACCTCCGTTCACCATAGAATCCTTCCCACAATCTTCACTCACTTCACCATTGTTTGTCACAGCACCGTTTTTCAACTCGTTGTTGTTATTATTGTTTATACTGTTGTTATTGTCCGGGGAAGGGGGCTCGGTGCCCCCCAACGCGTTCACTACCCGCAACTCTTGCTCGAGTGCCAACAGTTCCTTTTTACGTCCCTGAAGAATGTCCCTGAGCATGTGATGCGCGATATCACCTGGTGGCGGAGATCCGTTATCCTCCAGTCCTCGTCGGATCACGGTCGAACAGTCGAAGTTGTCGGAGTCCATCGTCATCATGGTGTCACCAGGAGTCGCTGCGTCCTTCACTTGTCTGCCCAGTAACTCGTTGAGCATCTTGGGCGCGAAGCCCGGCCCGAAGATCCCGAACTGTTGCTGGTTCTGTTGGAAGAAAGCACCGTATAAACCACCGGTGAAGAAACTCGGACGCGAACTGAAGTTGGGGATCGAGGAGTAGCTGTTACGCGGCTCGCCGGCGTCCACGCGCTGTCTGGCTCGTTTCGCTTTCTTGGATAGTTTGTCGCCGTACAAACCGAAGCAGTCTGCCTCCTCCTCTGATGACATCATAAGACACGAGCCCTCTGATTGGCCGGCCGCTGGGCCCCCGGCCCCCCTCTACTCTCCCATACCGGGACCTGCAAGGTGAGCCAACTGTCAGTACGGTATTGTGCGGTATGAGCCCCGTGCCGCACCACCTGCCCCTTTCCCCCCCTCTCCCCTCGGCAGCTGCTCCTCGAACCTCAACTACAGGCGAATTACTACAAGTCACTGCAACTGCAACTTCTCTCTCACTCTCCGTCTTTAACTGAAAGACAATACAATATTATATATTAAATGTAAAATTAGAAATAGTCCGCAATCATCTTTGGAGCTATCAACCTCTTAACAATCATATTGAGTGCACTCTGATCACTGAATATGTAACGTATAATCACACTAGAGAGTATATAGCAATGTCACACAAATTTTCCAAGACACAGACAAATAAATAAGAATATTGATATTGAAATCGTACAAGCTTAGCAAAGTATTCTAACTGTGCTGTAGCTTGTAACGTTTAACACACCTTTCGTAAGAGATAATTGACTCCAAGTACCTAAAATCAACATCATAATTACGACCAGTTGGCAATTTAACAACAGATGATTTAAGTCCATTGCACAGCATACTACTTGAAAGTTGTTAAAAATCTTCTCCGAACTTTTGCAAAAAAATATTAGAAAATTTAGTTTACTTAACTTATTAAAAATTTAAAAAAAAATCATTACATATTTCACTATTGTTATTGAAAAAGCAAAGATGTAACTATTATTGATAAATTTCAAAATAATTATCTTATTTAATCAGCCTTATTATTGAAAAGATGTAGATCAGAGCCAACCAGCCAAAATAGATTAAATAAATGTGGTTAGATTTCACAAGTTTTTTTAATGAAAAAGGCATTTTTCGTTTCTTAAAATTTACAAAATCCAAACGTATAAACGAAGTAACCATGATCAATTTACCACTAAGCACAACCTGCAAAATATTAAACATACAACTAATATAGTAAGTGACGGTAAATTTCAGCCCACACCTGAAAAATACTGCACACGTTAAACATACTGGGAGAAAAATTAAATTGGATCTTTTGACAAAGTGAGTTAAACATATGGTGGACGAAATCTGTCGGTCATCGTTTGCCCATTAGGCTCGTGCTCGTCTCGCTCACCTTTCTTAATTTCCGCAAACAATTAATAACTAAGACGAGGTAGGCTGTATCAGCGAAAAGGCGGTGTAGTGGAGTTCAGCCGCATAACAGCTGCTGAATGATGACGTCACTCCTAGTGTACAAGTATTGTTCTATACTTGATCACAACGTTCAAACCAAATTTGACCAACAACAGTAATACTTAAGGACAAAAGTAATAATTACTTTGCTGAGTTTTGAATGCGAGTGGTACGATAAACTAATTTAACCGCATAAACCATCTCGTTGTACAATTTTATTTTATTCATTTATATTATTTGTCACTACATGGGACTTGTAGATGAATTATTGGGTGAGTGCAGAATTAGCATACCTGACACTAAGCTAAATCATATTGACTGAAAAAATATATGCTCGTACAAAAATCTAAAATCACTAAGAACAGTTCATGAACGAAAGCTTGAAAACTGAAAAACAATTGTAGCGGAGAAGAGAGAAGAGACGATATTTATAAAGAATGTCACTACAAGTGGCGCATGTAACATGTAACCCAACACATCTGTGTGTGCTCGGAATTAGAAGAGTTGAGAAAAGCAAATAATATATACAAGTAAGTAAACTGAACGACTTGGAAGAAAGACAACTTGTCACAACACCCTCGGTCTAATTAAAATTATGTTGATAGAACATGATTCTATTTTCAATGCAAAAGTTAGTACAGATATCAACACGTTGTGTTATGGTTTGGCGAATACCGCGAATATAATCTTGTTATTTGTTTGATAAATCCCAAATCTTATTCATCACAAAAGTGTTTATACAAACAACAGTTTTTAAGTAAAAAAATATGAAATGTCATAAGATGAAATTACATTTGATCTATAAATAATTTTAATTAATTACTGCACTTTGAATGTTTAAGATAAAATTATTCTTTATTGAGACGAACTCAGAGACAATGGTCCATCTTAAACCTTCGTCAGCAGTCTGCTCCGCATTTGTATACTTGTAATTCTCAAACTTTAATTAGTCTTCGTCTGTTCAAATCCTGAATTTTTCTTCGGGCTTCGTACGACCGCGACTTGTTTGTTTTAATAGCGAAACTTGGTTTTAATTAATAAATTTGAATTGTTTAGTCGAATTACGTCTCGATCTTCTGAAATGACTGCGCTACACTGAAACAAACTTTGGAAGCAATGAGGGTTTAGTCAACCAGGAACGAGTTTTGTTCCATACTTGACTAAAGTTTAGCATTATTGACTGCGATTATAACAATGCAACATAGAGACGCAGTGTTTTAAACAATAAAATGAAATCGCTGATATACTATACCGATCGGGAAGAAGTGAAGTATTTAGTTCCATAGTCTTGGATTTTTTGAATCCTGTGTATGTTCAGTTTATTTTTTGATCCTGCAACGATTGATTACTTTTCTATTTAAAAAGAGTGAATCAAGAAAATAAGACTGAAATAAATATTTTCTGCTTCCCAATTAAAGGGTATTTGTAGAAAAAACTACTCTAATTATTTCTACAGTATTTGCACATGAAAGGTGTTTTTTTTTCTTTCTATAAAAGGCAACCCAAATTACACCTACAGAGGTTCAATCTTTAGGGACGGAATGAAACTACAAATTGGCAACCCTTCTTTCTTTACTCAATAACTAATCAGCTGATATTCATTTTTGCATTGTTGTCTACATAATGTGTTATTAGAAATTTGTTGTAAATAAACCCAACATTGTTTTTTGTTTAGTCAAAGATGATGTATTGTCTAGAAGAACACATTGAAAGGTAATCATTCGTATTATGTCAAGAAATGGTTGCAATTAGGTTTCCTGGTGAGGCGATTGTACCTAATAAATCAACCAGGCTGTATGTTTAAACATTTTAAGTTTGATAATGCAATACTGATTTTTTATAAGTGTGTATGAGTAACATGGGTTGAAAACATGTTGAGTCTTGATTACGACATACAGTATTCCCAATAAGTTTGAACACTAAACACTGAACCATGTGGACGACAATGCAAAAATGCGTATAAGCTGATCGGTAATTAGGTAAAGGAAGCAGGGCTACCAACGTGAGCTTGTTACTTAGAAGTACTTGTAATTTGGTTTGCGTTTTTATAGATGCACCCTGTGATGCTCTATTTGAGGTGTACTCTCGTATCGCACTACCGCTGTACCTCTGTCACGGACATATGCAACAAGGTAATGACCAACACTTCTTTATAAGAGGAAGTGGGAAAGTGGAAATGACGGTGACGTCACACGCAATAATCCATTGATCACGAGCACTTCCGGCGGGGAGTCGTCATGGTCTACGAACATACCCATACTGCGCCAGGTGGAGCTGTGAGCGTGAGACATGCCGTCATATGCGAGAACCTAGAACCGCCCTCACCCTACATCCATATGACAAAGGAACTGTACTAGTAATGCGCAAAAAATGATAGATAATGCTAAATTCCTCCTCAGACTTCTCGTAGGTAATATTTTGTTGTCCTATGACGCTAGGCACGAGCCCGGGATTGTTTTTCACATTACTTCAGACTAGACCTAGGGGTTGCGGCATTATCACTTAGATAAAATCCAATAGTGATTTGGCGGGATTTGAACCCGGGACCTCAGACACCGAAGTCCCGCGCTCTAACCACTAGACCAGTTCGCTCCCCCAACGTAGATAATATTAAATTGGCAGTAATTGACACGATTAAGAGATTCGGTAAGAATTAACTAAAACAAGAAAATATTTCCGACCACAAAATATTAAACATTTTGCAAGACGATCATAAGATAAAAACTTCTTTAAGGAATTTTCTTAACTTGCCAAATAAAACAGAAACAGAAATAAAACGACTTATCGCACTCTTAACACAAGGAGGCAGTTACAGTAGTCAGTAGTCCTGGCTTTATAATCCCAGCAGTGTTGACGTCTTACTGCCGAACTTCCCTCGTAACAATATAGACGTTTTGACATCAACTTGACGTGAGTTTGGTTTTAATGCCCTCATTTCATTTGGCACCATAATTTGGTAAAGTTTTAACATCCTCAACCTAATTCTCGACCATTCTCAGATACAAGCCTAGAAATGAAACTTTTAAACATGTAAACTTGAAAGCTCAAAATTTTAACGAGATGTATTTTTTTTTAATTTTGATACCCTAACAACAACGAAAGTACTTGACACACAGTGTCTTTAGCACCACAGAGGAAGAGACGCGGGGAGACAAAAGACCGACACGGAGACGTCGTAAGTGACGGAAGTAGATCTTACAGCGGCAGGAAGTAGCAAATGAGTTGACACTGTGTCTGTGGAAACGACAAATTATCTTAACAAGTTGTGCGGATCATTTCACTTGTTAAACTTACTCCCTTCGTTTACAAGCATGTAAGAACAAAGACACAGTTTTGTGTCTTTTGAGGTCATAGTTAGATCTGGCAGGGATATTGGTCTATAATCTACTGTTAACTGAGCATTGTTTTAGTCCGTGAACAGCCTTAACCTTATCAGATTACCTTATTACAGTCGTCGATTAAGTTTGAGGAGTAAGATAGATTTCTTTCCTTCTCAACAAACTACGACATTAGAACAACTTTATTAAAAGCAATACGTTAAATCCATTGCAAGTTTTTGGGTTAGCCGCAGGCGCGGGTGGGTCTATGAAATGTAATCCACTGTAGTTTAATCTACTATAGTTAGCGTTAGTGTTTCAAACGCATAGATAACAACGCAAGAGTAAACACTTCTTCCTACTAAGATTGTGGAGTATGTGGCAAAACAGTTGTAACGCTATTTAAATTAACCAACAAGAGGCGAATTCCGGCCAATTTAGGCGAAGGAAGGCCAATTGGGGCGCCAACAGCAACGCGTTTAAGATCGCAATTAACTTTGTCCGGTCTGTGTATTCTTGTTGGGGACCCAGTTCCTATGTCATCTTCC